AAAAAAAAAAAAAAAAAAAAAAGCCCTGTACTCACCGAGTGCTGCCAGGTGCGGGGGGCAATCCCTGCTGCCCCCCACTGCGTGGAGGGCTCTGCCACGAGCCCCCAGAAGCCCTGACGGTCGCTGCAGCCACCAGTGAGTGTGGGGCTCTTTTTTTTTTTAAAGAGCTGGGGCTGGGTGGGGCAGCTATTGACAGCACTGGGAAAGCGGGTGGGGAATAGGGGCTCATGGCAGAGCCCCCTATGCAGCATGGGGCAGTTTGGATTGCCCCCCATGCCTGGCAGCAGCCAGTGAATGCGGGGCTTTTTTTTTTAAAGAACCAGGGGCTGGGGCTGGATGGAGCAGCCATTTCACATAGCTGGAAGAGTGGTCATGGGGGGGGCTGGGGGATCAGGCAGGGGATGGGGCCTAGCATGGGTCCCCCCCCATGGTCCTCTCCCCTCTCTGCCAGCCCCCCACCCCATACTTACTGGCATGGAGTCCAGGTCCAGTTCCCTGCAACAGCAAGTGGGGACTGCCCGAATATCTGAAGCTCTCTGAATCTTTTCTGAATCAATTCGAAGAGCTTCAAATTGATTCAGACCTTTTTATTGGTGTGCCAATTTGATTTGATTTGGATTTGGACATTTGGCCACTGAATTGGGGCAGATTTCCTCCGAATCAAATCAACCCCTGAAGCTTTGCACAGCCCTACTTGCCACCCCCCCTATCTAAGGCAAGGTTGCCTAACTGGTAACCTGTGACATCTCAGAAGTTGAATAGCCCTGATTTAAGGCTTGGCACAAAACTACTGCTTGAAGGTTCCCATAAAGGCCATGCAGACTCTCCCACTGAACTCCATATAAGATTAATACATTGTCCCAAAGGTTATTGATCAGTTAATTCCCTTTTAATTCTTGAACAAGGTGTGAGATTTAAATTAGTAGAGATGTTTCCCTTAGGAAACTGTGGGACTTGACATCAGGAAATCATTATTTTTTTCCTTCAAATATTTACAACGATTCTTTTTCCTTTAAGAATGATGTCTACAGAAAGTGCCAATAGTTTCACTCTGATTGGAGAAGCTTCTGATGGTGGAACCATGGAGAACCTCAGCAGGAGACTGAAGGCAAGCCTTCATGTGCTACGTGTATTTTGAACACACTGCAAATTGTACCAAGTGCTTTAAACATTGGCAATATAAAGCTTTCTTGACCTTCTAGTTTTCAAATCCTAGTGGGAAAAAATTAAAGTTAAACCAGTTGATTGAGTGTTGGTGCTCAAAAAGGGCATGTGGGAGTTGTCTTGAGGGGCACAAGTCCCTTGTCTGAGAAGCAGAACCTGAAGTTGCCTTTAGATTTGCTCTACTAAGATGAGCTTTTTCTCTAGGTTACTGGTGACCTTTTTGACATTATGTCAGGACAGACAGATGTGGATCACCCTCTGTGTGAGGAATGCACAGATACCCTTCTAGACCAGTTAGACACACAACTTAACATCACAGAGAATGAGTGCCAGAACTACAAGTGAGTGACTTGATGTTGGTCTTAATTTTGAAGAGCAGTGAAAGAATACTGATTTACTCACTTGTCTACTAGTAATTCTTAAATGATAAAGATGTCCAACAACAAAGTGTTGGTTGTGCTGCTGGTCAGCTGCAACTAAGCATATCAGAAGCCATAACATGTCATGTTCTGATAACTGCACTATGTATGGTTTAATAACCAGTCAGTGTCTTCTATAGGCGATGTCTAGAGATCTTGGAACAAATGAATGAAGAAGATAAGGAAAAATTGCAAATGGAGCTGAAGGAACTCGCTCTGGAGGAGGAACAGTTGATCCAGGAGCTGGAAGATGTGGAGAAGAACCGCAAGATTGTAGCAGAAGACTTTAAGAGGGTCAGGGCAGAAGCAGAGAGGCTGGATCAGGAGGAGGCACAGTAAGTCTTAACTAAAACTCCATTGCAGGGTAGTGGTGATGAATACATAGATGACTGGGTGCATCAGCTAGGATTGTGGGTAAATACATAAATAGTGTTTCCTTAATAAATTACCAATATTGTCTAGGTACAAGTGACTTCATCTGCTACAAACTGGGATAGCCTGGTACTTCTAGTTAGACCAAAAATTGCACAAGCTGTGAAGTTGGGGTTCTCCTCTCATTTCCAGGGAATGTTTCACAATGGAGTTAGTGCTCTTGCCATCCTGCATTCTTGGTAGCTTTCTCCTTTTTGCTTTTTGAAGATATCAGAAGGAATACTGTGAATTCAAGAGGCAGCAACTGGAGTTGGATGATGAACTGAAAAGTGTTGATAACCAGATGCGTTATGCCCAGATGCAGTTGGATAAACTGAAGAAAACTAATGTGTTCAATGCAACATTTCATATCTGGTAATGTTTAGACACTGGAGTAAATGGCATCAGCTTCCAGAAATCTGCATTTCAGCATCAGTTTGGACAGTAGTTTATATAGCAATATAGTTGTGAGCACAGGTTGCATTATACCATATTGTTGCAAGCAGCTGATCAGATTTTCTCACTGCTGAAAGGGTAACCAGGAAAAGCCTGTACAGGTTTCCCTCGCTGTATGCAGTTTCTGTATGTGTAAATTTGCTCTTATGCTGTGAGCCTTTTTATACCAAAAATTTGTTGCATGCAAGGTAAATTCACTCTTAAGCAATAGGTGTGGTGGAAGCCCGTAATCAGCTGCTTTGTATGGTGCATTGTGGGAATGACAAGCACCAAAATATCCTTTGTGGATCTATGCTCCTCACTTGTCTGTGACACAGTGTTTCTGTAATTGCCCTCCCCATTATGATAGTTCCCTGTGCTTGTGTGTACTGTCTGCTGTTGGTGAATACCAAACTTGTCTTGTAAAAGTGGTAGACATGGGTCTGGGGGTTAGTACAGTTGAGGCCTTGGAACATATCTCTATTTGTTACATTGTAAAGTGGGTTCCCTTTATGCAAATTTGAGTTATGCACCGTTTTCCAGGAACGCATGTACAGCATAAAGCGAGGGAAACCTGTACTTTATCCAGCCTGCATACAGAACTACAAATAGGAGGGCACATAGGGCAAGGTCAAATAAGCTGTCAAACTGGATACCACATGGGCTCCAAAGCTATGTTCCTAAGCAAATGGCTATGCTGGAGGGCAACTCTGAGCTTGTCCCTTATTCAGCATGGCTAACGTAGAACGTGCTTGCAGTTCGTTCTGTAATGTTTGGGATGTATTCTGAGCTCTTGAGTTGTAGTCTCAAGTTGTTAATTTACACTAACTAGCAATTAGGATGAGACCCTTTTGTGCTGTGTACCATCCTTGCTTCAGTGATCTTATTTATGACTTCTGCCACAGGCACAGTGGACAGTTTGGCACAATTAATAACTTCAGACTTGGCCGCCTCCCCAGCGTTCCTGTAGAATGGAATGAGATCAATGCAGCTTGGGGGCAAACGGTGTTACTACTGCATGCTCTTGCCAACAAGATGGGCCTGAAGTTTCAAAGGTAAGAGCTGTCCCTTATACAACCTGGTGATTTGTAAAGCTGCTGCTGTTAAGAACACTTACATTAATTTTCCTTTTGAACTGTTACTTTCAGATACCGTCTTGTTCCATATGGGAACCATTCCTATTTAGAGTCCCTCACAGACAAATCAAAGGTAAAAAGCCTTAGTTCATGCAACGGTAATATGGTTTAAATACAGACTTCCCCAGTTCACACCAGCTGGATGGGGCAGAATACTTGCTGCAAGTTTAATAAAGTTGCTGCAGTAAATGCCTTATTCTTCAACTCTCTAGGCAGGTTGGGGGAAAGCAGAGGAGGTCTCTCCCATAAAAATACAAATTCCTATAGCCAGTTGAATTGGACTAGTAGGCTCCAGTCCTGTCCAGTTGACTAATGGTGGATGACTCAAATGAGTAGCATGAGTGCTGGAATGTTCAAGGAGAGTCCACTGATTTCTTGAAAATAGAGGATTCCCAGTGACATCTCACTGCAAATTACAGAACATCTAAAATGGATGTTTTGGATTCATCTTCTGTGTTTTTCAGGAGTTGCCCTTGTATTGCTCTGGAGGTTTAAGATTCTTTTGGGACAATAAATTTGATCATGCGATGGTGGCTTTCTTGGACTGCGTGCAGCAATTTAAAGAAGAGGTGGAAAAAGGCGAAACTCATTTTTGTTTGCCCTACAGGTTAGTGTTGCTCTTTATTCCAGTTTGCTAATTGGTGTGCTACTGCCAGAACATGTCCATCCTGATCCACAGAACCCTTTACTTTTTTGATTCCTGGCTTCCTGGTAGCCAGTTGCAATAAATGTTACTTAAGATGTGGAGGATAAAACCCCTATGCCTGTCTTCTCTTCTGATCTAATTGGAAGGACCTGGGTACGGTTGTTTTTTTAAACAGCAGTCCTTACATGTCTTCAAATAAGGAATAAGAATGATAGAAAATGTTTAGCAGTTATGTGCAATTCATAGCTGTTTATGGTGACTGAAAAAAATGTATTTTAGTCAAGTCTGACCTCCAAAGTAATCATTGGAAAGTAATAGTTTCAGGGGCAGTGGAAGGCACGCTCAGTTTACAAGTAGAATTGATTAGTGGTTTCAGAGATGATACTGTTACTTGCAATGTAAATGTGTTAATGTTTTGTTTCTGCAATACAGAATGGATGTGGAAAAAGGCAAGATAGAAGATACAGGGGGCAGCGGTGGCTCTTACTCTATTAAAACCCAGTTTAATTCAGAGGAGCAATGGACAAAAGCACTCAAGTTCATGTTAACTAACCTGAAATGGGGTCTTGCCTGGGTTTCATCTCAATTCTATAACAAATGACTGCATGAAGAACTTACCCTGATGGCTATGGAGTATCTGCATTTTGTTTTGAAGAATATCAGATTAAGTTGTCACTTAATATTAACCAGTACAAGATGTTTACAATACCAAAAATCCACAAGACACTTTATTTAAAATTTCATACCACAAGTAATATGTAGAAAAGCAATATGTAAAGTTATGCTGTTAAGTGGAACAGAATAAAATTAAGCTGTTCATGAAGTAGCTATTTAGCTTTTATGTATATTGTGGTTTTATGTATGTCAAAACTTATTTTACTGTACAAGTGGATATTTAATACCATTGCAACTTTTAAACGAATTGTATCTTAGGAAAATGAAGTACTAAGAATACAGTGGGTAAAAACTTATAGGCATTTTGCCTGGTCACCTTAAAGCTTGAACATATTTATTTTTTCTTTAAATCAGATACAGATGCGCACTTAACTTGGTGCCATTCAAATTTACTAGGGTTTGATACTATTTAAAATGTTGCTATAATATTTAAGTGTTTCTATCCAGTATTTCTTGCAGTCTGTTACTGCACAAAGGTGCACTGAACACTGTAATAAAACACTTTGTATTCTAGACAAGGAGTGTTCACTGAATGAAAACACTAACTGCAGCATAACATTCCTCTGCACTGAGATGGATATATCAAACAGTCTCCAAACCAAATGAAGTTTGCATCTGCCTCAAGGCAAGCAGTGCTATGTTTGACTTGAACTTCTCCTTCAACAGTGTCTACCTGAATTCTCTGTGGGGACAGATAACTGGATTAGTGGGGTATCTAGTACTGAAGATCCTAGGACAATAGTGCCCAACCTTTTGGGGCTCTAGGCCTTATGCATGGTGTGGGATGGGTCTTGACCAGTCTCTGGGTATGCTTTGGCTCATCGCCCTGGTCCTATGCACACCAAATTGGACTGAGTCCACCTTCAGCCTTGTTGCCCCTCCCCTGGTTCCTTGCATGCCGGTGGGATCCTGTGCACAAAGTGATATCATCTGGCCTGTGGGGCATGAGAATTCAGTAGGAGAGCACTAGCTCTATTCATTGCCACTGCTTCTGGCTCCTACCCTTCCCAAATAATTTCCAGAGCCCTGTGGGCCAGATCACACTGCTCTGCATGCCAGAGGTTAAGAACCCCTGCTGCAGGATGTTGAGAGCTGTTACTCCACAACAGCTACTATACAGGAGGAAAATATAGCCTTGTTTGCAAAGGTTTTATTAGAGGATTTATCATGAGCATTTTGTATATTCCCAAACCATGCTGGAGTCTTTTCTATGAGTGGCCTTGGCAATCCAAGTATAGAGTTGTTGCTAACTTCTTCAAAGGACACCTAAGCCTGCAAATTTACAAAATCTAGCTGCTATTTTTTCTTTAAGAATAAGAAAACTCTTTGTCCCAAATGACACTGCTACGCTCTCTCTGTAAGAGAGGTAGGGGACAGTCTGCAGGGGCTGTTACACAACCACTGTAGCTCATCAGAAAGGAGTTACCAAGTTCCTTGTTTGGTATGATGAAGGATGGATCCTTTCCAGTAACATGCTGGCTTTGAGAACACTGTTGCAAAAAAAATAAATAAATCCATGTTTACCATTAAGTAGTGTGGTACTCCTGAAAACATCATTCCATCTGTCTTGCATTGGTTCCAGTGGGTGTAGTGCCAAGACTGTGCTTTAGTATCGCATATAAAAATTCAAACATGCTTTGTGAGGTAATGCCAGTGATGCAGTTTAAATGCTCCACAACCTTTAAAAAAAAATAAACCCCTACTTCAAATACTTTTTCATTTTGAAGCTTAAACTGTGAATACTTTTAAAGGAAAAGAAACATAGTAATTGTTACGCCACCATGATACAGCTTGGTAACCCTTTGCAGTGGACCAAATGAAGAACCTTTCAGTAGGAGAAAACAGAACTGAGTTTTCACACTTAGTTCATTCTACTGGAGATTATTAAAATAGGCCAGTTAGACTTAAACACAGGTACCTGTCATCTTAGAATCAAGGTATCCTGTAGCTAGTTTGGCAGAAATCTGGTGTGCTAGAGAGGTTACTTCCATATGAAGATGCTATCAACAATCATAGATTTGTTACAGGTGTAAGAAAGTTGTAATCTTTATTTTGGAAAGAAATTGGGGTGGGGGAAGGGCAGTTATTTTTGCAAACTGGAGATAATTGGAGATTCTGCCTTCCTGATAATTTCTACCCAGTTTTTTTCCCCGTTAATCCTAAACTGAAATGTTTCTCCCCTCAAAATAATTTCTCTTCACACTGTGTAAATGGTAATTTTTTCATTCTTGTAAGGCTCTGCAGTGACTCTACCTGATTCCAGTGTTCAGGGTTTAGTATGAAAGCACTTGTTCCAATAATTCCAGCTGCCAAGAGCATAAAATCTTCTTTTACTGATAAAAACTTTGCTCTGTACAAAAAAAAACACCAATCCAATAATGTGTGGTTTAAAATGAGGCTGCTTCTGTATTTCAACTACAGTCATGTTTAACATTTGATTTTGTGTATGTGGGACTCAGTAACGCAAGTAACATTCTAATAACATCTAGGTACAACCCTCCCCTTTAAGGTCACCCCATGCTGGTATTAATAGCTTCAACTAAAAGTTCAGTTTATGCACCAGTTTTCTTAAAGAAAAGATAGACAAGAAGAGTGAGTTAAGGAACATTTTCCCAGTCTCCTTTCATAGCAATGTTACTAAAACGTGGAAATGTTGAGCGAAGCTAGTTTTATCCAGAACCAACTACTATTAATACACAGCACTTTGTGCTAATTAGTATTGACAGTTGTAGTAATTTATCTTCAAAACTCTCCTTTTGCAAATAGTAATTAATCTGTCTGGGAGATTAGATACATACTCATTCTTCTAGAGACATCAGTAGGGAGAAAGGTACTCTGAGTTATCCAGCATGACAAACATACAGTGTCAGAGCAGAACTGGAACAGACTATCTCCAAATACTATTTTCTATGAAAAGGAAGTCTTGTACAGAGACTGTTCTCAGCATTTCAAAGAATTTACTTAAATCAAGAAACTTCAGTCTCATATTCTTAGTGCATAAAAAATGCCCTGCTAACTGGTATTGCAAGTAACCAACTCATTATTTTGGCTTACGAAGCACTTTTCTCAGTTACTGTGCTGTCAAACTGCAGCAAATGTAAGTTAGAGATGCAAGTTTGTGTCCTTCACCAGCCTTTTTTTCTCTGAATACACAAAAGACTGGTATTAGTTCAAACATGTCCTTAGACATGTATACTTACATCTGGAGTTCATTTGGCGTTGAATTTTCAATAGAAGTCTTTAGCAATGTATTGTAGATAACATCACGCATGAGGTAAGTTAAATCCAGCAGATGCACACACATTTCATGCAATTGTTTTAAAGACAGTAAACAGCCATTATGTCCTAAGGTAAAGATTTTAGAGGGTCAGCTGTATCTATTTTGTGGCCCATACCAAATTAGGAAAAATATGAGAAGCATTAGAATTGGTGCCTAAGCTTTTCAGCAGTGACTGCCATATCCTGTGAGAGCCTTAACTTGATGCTTCATAAGAGAATGTGATTTTA